CCCCCCCCCCCCCTCCCAAATCAAATTTCGCAGCACATTGAGAACGAGCCGTCCAACGGGCGCAACGAGGTGCAGAACGCGTGGCCGACGCAGAAGGGGCTGCTGGTGGGGTTCTGGGGCTACCTGCAGTCCAAGGGCTTCAGGGCCAAGGTCATCGACTTCCCCTCCATCGGCATCGGCATGGAACTTCCCAAGTCTATTGCACTGCAGGCAATGGGACACTGCATCGGTGAGGGATGGGAGACAGACGAGAAGGGGAACGCCCAGTTGACGCACAGGCCTCCCTGTGTGTCCGCTGTCTGTCTGTCTGTCTGTCTGTCTGCAGGTGTGCGCGTATTCTACACGTCGTACGACTCAGTGGCGTTTCTGTCCCCCAGCCATTCTGAGGTGGTGTTGGGGGGAATGGTCCACGTTGACCTGCTGTCGATCCCCCACTTCCCCAAAAAGATCAAGGGCTGGACAGTCAGGAGCGTCCCGCCCCCAGAGGAAGCCATGAAGAAACTGTCTTACCCCAACACAGGTAGGTATTGAGCCGAACAGAAAGATGGCAAAGGACACTGTGTGTCTCCCTCCTTCTCTTCATTCATTCGTGTCTGTGTGTCAGATGCGACCACGCCGGCCTCTGGTTCGATTCAGCCGGTGAAGATCGAGTACACCATCCCCAGCAACGTCATCGTCAGGGAGCCAAACGTTCGTGGGCAAGAAGACTGACTGATGCAAGTGCTGACTGCATAAGCTTGTGACGAGACCGTTCTGGGTTGTGTTCAGGTTCAGTTGTGGGACAGTCAGGCGTTGACGTGGTGCGACGACAACATAGGGGAGATCGCATTCGATGAAAGCACGCGGAAATGCTCATTCTTCTCACTCAGGCACGCATAGCATAACACACACACAGCACAAGAGGTGTGCTGCGCACCCTCCCTCCCCAATTGGTGCGATACGATGCAGGTTGGCGTCCTTTGCGCTGACGCAGGACCGCACCCTCGACCTGCCCTACAGGTCGGCACTGCTCGACACTCCTTTCTGACGGCAGTGTGTGTGTGTGTGTGTGTGTATGTATCCATCAAACAGTTGGTGGCAGATCAAGGCTCGGTCAGCCACATCAGCACAGCTGCTCCTCCAGGGCCCTGACTTTCTCATCGCGTTCGCCATCACAGAAGTAAGCCAACCTGACTTGAACGAACCCACACAGATTTGTATCCATTTTGCCCTTTATGTCATCAGGACGGTGTGCAGCTGGAAGGCCCCGACAGACCTGAGCTGGCGGCCCTGAGGGAACAGATCCTCTCCCCGGCGGACCTACTGCTGCAGCTGCGCAAGTGGGAGAGATACCTACGGGCCGACAGACTGTCTGTCTGTCGGTCTGTCTGTCTGCGTCTCCATCTCAGTTGTGGCATCAACTGTCTGCCGAATGACCATGACGCCGAGCTGCTTGCACGCCGCCTCTCGCGCCCCACACACACGGAGAATGGCGAGAATGAGAGCAAAGAGGGGGAGGCCGAGGGCGACCACGAGGACGCAGAAGACGAGACATCCCCTGCCGCAAAGGAAAAGAATGGCAACAACCAGCAGCAGGAGCAGCAGCCAGAGCAGTCCAAGGATGCTGTCAACGGGGCCGAGGGTGGGGGAGAGACAGTGGACGGCTCACATGAAGGGGACAGCGGCCCGGGGCAGCCGAGGAATGGCCACGTGAGCGTCAAGGATGTGGGAGTGGAGGCCAAGGCCTACTGGGACCTGAGCGGCATCGCATGCTGCTTCGACATCGCCAGCTCGAGACACAACAAGAAGACTCAAAGCGACACACTCCTGGTCCGGGTGCACGACAACGTCTACCACGAGGACTTTGACGCCAATGACCTCGACTTTGAGACCGACTGGACGCCGGTCATGTTTTGGCACAACAAATCCAGGTTTCCACACACAAATGGCTAACAGACACCCATCCACCCCACCGACCACAAGTCTGGTCCGCTTTTGGTCAGTCTGGCGTGTGCGGTTGAGTCTGAGGAGGAGTCGGCGGACGCGTGCACCATCCCTGAGGGCAGCGTCACGCACGCCTCGCTCAGGCTGACACTAGAGGTAGGTAGGTGGGCGACACACGAGTGGATGGAGTGGCAATGATTGTGGGGGTCGGTGGTGTGTGTGGATGTGTGTGTGTGTAGGAGGCGGGCAAGATAGCTGACGCGATGCGGCTGCGGCTGGACTCCCCCCAGACGGCCCGGTTTGCTGAGATGACGCGGCAGCTGATGATGCTACTCAGACTGTGCTCATTCGGGTAGCCAGACACGTGTGTGCGTGTGCATGTGTATGTTGTGCGCGCGTGGTGTTTACTTGTGCTGCCCGTCTCCCATACGCGGGCGGCACACACAGAGGGGTTATAAATGTGTCCGTCCGAATGTTCATCATGCGTGGCGTGCCCCACACACGCACACGCAGTCACTCACTCATGTGCAAGTCCGTATGTCTGTCTGTATACAACTACACTACAGCCATCCAGGCAGCCACTCATCCATCCATCCATCCATTGCAGGCAGGCAAGCCACACACTCGACAGACAGACAGAGGGAGGGACATGTAGACAAAGAGCCAAGAAGCATGACAAGACAGACACGCGGATGTAGGAATGTAAGAGGGAGGGGAAGAGCGGCCAACCCGACCCTGTGCTGCATGAACGAACGGCTCACACACTCAGAGACAAGGAGAGGGCGAAAAGAAGACACCCAGACGCGACACGGACCGACAAAGAAACGAACGACATCACGGGGCGGGTAGGTGGGAAAGGGGAGACCGAAGCGCACCCCCCCACATGTGAGCACCTGCTTCGGCTGACGGCAACCCATCCACACTGCATCGCCAGGGGGTTCGTGAAACTTGTGTCGTTCACTGTCCCCATGACACAGCAGCGGAGACGGAATGCCGTCAGACCGATGTGCAGCGCACACAGTTCGCACAGCCATCATGGTGTGTATCGCAGTAAAACGCATTATCCTCTGGGGCCGCTCCGTGGATGGGCCGCCCATGCACGTTTCATGCTACCGCTGTTCGACTCAATCTGCGGCGATCGAGTGACCACTGAGCACCGCACATCAAGCTGACCGGCGGCAACGGAGCACGCAAACGTGCAGACCACCACATAGCGAACGAATCCAAGATCGACAGCAAAACGAGAAAAGACAAACAACGCTGGCAGAGAAAATGAATGAGTAACGCAGATAGACACACGGGGCGAGAAAGAGGTCGACAGGTGACTGAGTGAGTGAGTGAGTCAGTCAGGAAGCCTCCACCAGCCTCAAAAATAGCGACAAGGCACGTGGATGCAATCAATGCAAGACGGACGATCTCTCTCCCGTGTGCAGCAGAGCCCTTCCCCCTCCCCGCCTCCCTCTGTTCCCATGGGTAGGGTATATGATTGGTACGATAGCAGCATAGGATATGATACAAATCGGTCCCTCGTCGGGACTGTGTGTGGCCTGGACTCGTGACTCACGCACGGCCCTCAGAAGTCAGTCAGTCAGTAAGTCAGTCACCCCCTCCCTACCCCCATTGATGCACTGTCTGCAGCTCTCCCCTCTCACATGGATGCACACACAGACACGCACGGATGGACGGACGGACGGGTGCATGGATGCACGAGCGAGTGGGCGAGTGGGCGAGTGGGCGAGTGGGCGAGTGGGCGAGTGGGCGAGTGGGCGAGAGAGTCAGTGTTGCATTTTCTTTCTCCATGTCTGGATGAGATAAATGACCACCCCGGCCGTCACTGCCAAAATGATGATCGTACCCACGATGCCGTCTGCTCAGCCAAACACACACACAGACATCCATGGAAGGCGAGTGTGTTGGATGCGATATTCTTCTGCTGACTGACCGTGAGATGTCCGGTCCATGATGAGGGAGTGGAGGGAGAGGGCTGACAAATTCCTCGGATCCTGATTGGATTGATCAAGCAAAACACCACAACGCAATGGTCCTCCTTGTGTTCCTGTGGTTAGCCTGGCTCTGTTGGGTCGGCTTGCTTACTATTCTGAGGAGCATTTCGACCCGTCTTTTGGCCAGGGCATATTCGCCCAGCTTCAAGTGGGCCAAACTGATCTGGTACAAACAATCAGGCCTGCACCGCAACAACACACAACACACAACACAGCACGTGACAGTACCTCCCATCCATCTCATACCCACCCACCTGTCGAATCCGATCTCCAGCAGTTCGTTGAAGAGTTCGAGTGCCTCCCTGATCTCCTCTCTGTTGGGGCTGCATGAGAGCAGGCAGGCATACTCGAACTGAAGCCGGGGGGAGGGGTTGGACGCCTGCGCTTGCTGCACATACATACACAAAAACACACAAACACAAGACACACGCAGATGTCCAAGTCGCCACGTGCATAGCATCCTTCCCTTCGTGTGTGGAGTGTGGTTGGTTCCGTACGCTGTAGTATTCCTCGCGCAGTGCGCTGGTCTCCTGCTCCAGATCAAAGCGAGGCTCCGCCATCGCCGTCACGAACCGCGGGCAGGGAGCAACAACCACACTCCCCTCCTTCACTCGCCAGCCAGCCAGCCAGCACCCAGCCAGCAACCTCGCACACGGCAGGCAGGCCACAGCTGACGGACGCCTCCGAGTCGACTCTCACAGATGGGATGGGGAGGAGGTGCAATGCGGAATTCGGAAGGGCTGCAGAAGGAAAGATGGCAGCTGGAGGGACCCTGCTTTCTCCTTTGCGGCCTTTGGCTCACAGCCTCCTTGCCCAACCCTTGCCCTCCTTGGCTGCTTACGACTCGAGCTCGCACAAACGCCGATCGCTGAGGAGAAGAGTTGAAAGGGGCGTTGTGGAGGACAGCTGTGCGGCAGATCCCACCCTCATTTGACCGCGTGCCACTTCAGCATTTCCATCATTCATCCATTTCTTCCGCAGTGAGTGACGCGGCGGCAGATCTCCCCTACCAGACAGCCGTCAGCGAACGTGAACGTGAAGGCGATGAGCATACGGCTGGAGTTCCGCCTCCGATTCTACGACAACCGGCCAGATGAGCGGACATTTCAGCGGCTTGTGAACCTTCCGAACAGCACATCGATATCCTTCAGGCGTGGCATTCTTCGCAGTGAGCTTCAAAGGTTGCTCAAAGCTGCATTTGCTCCGGTCCTTGACGGCTACAGTGCGGCCCTGATCAAGTTCCCGGATCACCCAGATCTGACAGCTGACGACGTGACAATCGACGCTAACAGCTTCCCTGGGCATGGCGGGGAGGGCCAGCCTTCCATAAGGGTCGAGGCGGGCGTGGAGGGGCTGGGACAACCACCGGCACTACGCGAGAGCGATGCCGCACGAAAACAAGTAAGGCGACAGGGGGGCAGGGATGGATGGCCATTTCATTTGAGATGTGTGCGTGCGTCATTCATTCTGTGTTGACAGAGGCGGGTCGGCTGCTTTTACCTCTGGATGGCAGTTCTGTTTCTGGCGATCGCCATCGTCATACTCGCGACAAGCGGTCAGACTTTCCACGGTGTCTTCTGGTCGGGAGTCTGCCTTGCGGTCGCACTCATGTTCGTCGCCCTCCGCTTTGCTATCGGGCTTGCCGACCGCATCGACCGGTGCGCTGAGAGCAGATGCGGGGCGTGGCTGCTCGACTGCCCCGACTGCTGCGGCTGCTTTAGAGAGCCCGAGGAGCCGTAGACCATCCCGGCCGCGGCATCTGGAGTTCGTAAGCCGAGTGACGTGACGAGCATGGCTCCCCTGATGAAGGCCGGTCGAGCGAATGGAGCTGAGGGTGTGTTGGTTGGTGGAATTGTTGGGTCTCCTGACTTAAGGAATCAATGGCGTTTGTGTCTTTTTCGTTCCTGCTGAGTGACCGATGATAGATGAGGGACATTGATGTGTGACGCAGTGCTTGGGGATTGTGCTCTTCCATTACGGAATGTCAGTGTCTCACAGCCATTCATGGCACCCAAGTCAAACAGACAGACAGGATCTCTCATCATCCGTCATGCAACAACCCTTTCCCCCTCAAGCTTCGCATCGACTCTCTTCAACGATTCAACCACTCGATCAAACCACCAAACATTCCAAACTCACGCCGTCCTCTCTTGGCGTCCCTCCCCCTCCCCCTCCCCGGCCACCTCAGCTTGCCTGTGCCCGTGTCGGTCCGTCGGGCCTTCCCTTCTTGGAAGCGGAACTCACAAGGGACGACATGGTTGCAGGCAGGCATCAGCGGGCCGGGATTGGGGTGGGTGGCGGGGCAGGAGGTGGTGCTGGAGGCGGCATGATGAGCGGTGGCGGTGGTGGGGCTGTGAAGGGCAGGAGAGAATCAATGGCAATAGACTGGATGAGTAGTGTCCCTTGCCCACTCACCGGCAGCGACTGGTCGGGGCATGTGCATGGCAGCAGGCGGTGGTGGGGTCAACCACTCATGCTTGAGGGCCTGCATGACCAAGAGATGGAATGACAAGGCATGGGAAGGTGGAGTTGTGTGTCTGTTGACTGACTGACCTGCTCAGCGGATGCGCCATTGCACAGGGCGGCGATGAAACTGACAAGGCCAGCAGGGGGACTGAAGGGCAGCAGGGCCCGGCGGATGGACTCCTACGTCGGCTGCATTGGAATGAGAGGCAAAGCAGAGAGGGAGGCCGTTAGGCTGAATGCCCGTCTGTGACGATATATTTCATTGGTCCTCTCGTACCGTGGAAGCGGCGATCTGCGAAGCCTTGGCTTGGTCAACCCCAGCCATCCGCAGCAATGTGACCACTGCCAGATAGCAGCGACGGAGACAAAGAGAGAGATACGACAATCCCAAATGTCCATCGGTCATGGGAACCTACCCGTATCAAGAGCGATGGAGTGCAAGTGATGCCTACTCCGCCGATGGAGTGCTCCGTGTCGAGAGCCTTCGCCACCTTGCCCCCCTCGAGCCGCCATATCTGGCCTTGGCCGCCTCCCCCCAACTTGCCCTCCACACGCAGCCAATACAAATCATGTAGCGCCCCCTGCACACAGCGACCAGCAGACAGCACGCAATGAGAGACAGACCAGTGAAACCTGCGCGGTCAGCTGCCTGCGTGTCTGCCTGTCTGCAGGGCCACTGACCTCGACATCCCTATCCCCGACGGGTCCCTGCTTCCAACCCTGCAGCCACGCAGACACAACAGGAGAAGGTACGGAGAACTTCACTAGAACTCCGCAACATCCTTCAAGAGAGGTGGCTTGCGACAGCTCTCACTGATGGCTGGCTCACCCTCTCGATAGCGCCGCCCTCCTTCGCCAGTTTGGCTCTCGTCCTCGCCTCGGCCGGGATCCGTCTTGCCCATAACGCTGCGGGCGTGGACGTGGGCGTGGTTGTAGACGGCCATCTCCTGTTGCCGGATGAAGTCGGCCGGCGGGTCCAGGGGCAGGGGCGGACATCTCCTCAGGTGCACGGGCACGGGCGGGTGAACACGGGCGTGCACATACATCCTGGCAGTCTCTCTTTCGAGACGCCCCCACGTAAACGGGGGCGGGGGAGTGGTGGGCCATATCAGCCTTGAGGAGTTGTTTGCCATGTTTCAGCCGGACAAGAGGGATGTCGCACTGCCCACAAGTGTCCTGTGGACCTTGGAGATTGAAGCGGCCAATCGTGGTGCCGCAGAGCGTGCCCTGTCCAGCCTCCTCGCGGAAGAAGTAAGTATGGGCTTAGCCTATGGATGGTGGGCATCATGGGTTTGGCTGCGCCTTCCCTCTCTGTGCGCATAGCTCTCCATCGCTTTTCGCGTCAGGCGGAAGGGCGATGTCGTGTACGTCCGGACGACCAAGCCCGGCGGCCTGCATCTGTATAGTGTGCCGATGGAGATGCGCCGCTCTGATGCCGCCCTCAAGATCGCCCAGGAGCTGCTGTGGACGATGAAGCAGAAGTACTGGTTCACGCCCAACTACTGGCTCACGATTGCGTCATGGGTGAGCCAGCAGATGGCAGACAGACAGGGGTTTCTATGGGTTGCGTGCCTGCCATAAATCTGTCTTTCCCTTCAGGATGACGGCACTGACCACGCATTCAGACCGCGCGTTGTACGATTCTGCCTCCAAAAGCACTGTTTCCCTCCTTGTTGCCCCTCGTGTCACGCAGGCTCCCCACGCGAGACGACCCGAGACCAACACGAACGGGGCCTGCACCATATGCCAGGGGTGGCTGGGGTTCTCCGCACCGTCAGACGCATCCTCCGGCCCAGGACAACCAATGTACGCATCAGCCATCCATCCATCCTCCCACTCATCATCGACGCATCGCCCAGCCCACACACACGACACATCCTTCCTATGTGTCTGTCTTGTGTGTGCTGTTTGGTTTGTCGTGAAGGTTCCCATCCGTGGCCCGACTGAGCATGTGTTTCTGGCTCCTCCACCGGCCCAGTGTAAGCGTAAGGGGGCACACCTGCGTGTGCGCCCGCCCGCATGCCTTGCTTGCCTCTCTGGTTGTGTGTGCGCTGCAGTTGCGTATGTTCCCTACTACCCCGCTGCGCCCGTGTACCAGCCAGCACCGCATATGCACATGCGTAAGCCCATCATTCAGACACACTGCACTGCACTGCACGGTAATGTATTCTCCTCTGATGCCCCCAACTCGGTCAATCAATTTCCCCGACCAAGCTCCCATGTGTAAGTGCGCCGGGCTGCCTAGGTGTGCACATGTGTATGTGTGTTGTCGTTGCTGTGTGGGCGGTCCGTGCACTGCAGACGGACCGGTGGGCGTCCCTCCCGGCCCGCGGGCGATGTCTCCGCCTAGCTACCAGCAGGTGAAATGAAGGAATGCACGACATCTGCCACACCACAAACCACCATGGGTGTGCCTTCCTTTGCGCCTGTCTGTGGGGTGTGGTCAGGGGTTCTGGTACGCACAAGGCTGATATCGACAGGCTAGGCTGCGTTGGAGGGGCCGGTGGGGGCCATCAAGTAGATGTAGCTTAGCTGATTGGAGGGGGGGAGGGAGGGAGGGAGGGAGGGAGCGACAGATACATACATACCTACCTGTGGAGGGGACCCTTCTCTCCGTGTGATACATGCATACAGCAGAGGAGCGCGACACACCCTCGCCTGCCCTGCCTGCTTGCCGTGGATGTGTGACACGATAGCTTGGCTTGTGTGTGTGGCGAAATGAAATGGCTGGCTGACTGCCTCCCTCCCTCCGAGGTCGGACGTCTGGCTGGCTTATGCGTTGCGACACAGACCAGACCCATCCACGCCTTCACATCAACGCATAACGTCACATATGTCGGACTCCTGAATCAGTTGGACACCCTAATGCATCACGTCGCACACAGAGACAAGGCGACCGACGACAGAGCTGTCATCACATCCTATAGGGGATGGCTGAGCACCCTGTGGTGTCTGCCATGGCCAGGATGCTGGGACACTCGACAAGACATGAATGCCCTCTCGAGTGGACCAACAGACAGGCAGTGACAGGCACCACATGACGCCTCAGAATGGACGAAGAGAACGGACCCGCCGACCAAGCATTGACTGACACAAGACCACCCATCCAGTTCATTCTGCCGGCACACCGGATGCAGCAGCACTCTGCTGCTCGCCAATAGCTGCCCTCCCCGCCGTGTGTGTGTCCACCAAGCGGCTAGTCATCCCTCTGTTCTCGCGCGCAGACCAGGGAAGACGCTCAGTCTTGACCATCGACAAGGCGTAACTGTCACACAGCCAACACACACGCACAGGAGAGAATATTGGCGCATGGGTACCCGCCGGTGTGTGTGTGTGTGTGTGTGTTGCTCACTCTTTCTCTGGCTGCGGCAGCTTGGCGAAGTCCTGCGAGTACTTGAGCTGGAAGGTCCTGCACCAGAGACAGATACACGTACGTACCTTACTCGTGTTTGCGTGGGTCACTGGCGCTGACCTGACGAGCTGCCTGATGTATGTGTGGCTGTTGGTGGCCATGGCGTCCTGCAGGGCCATCAGCCGCTTCAACACGCGACCCATCGTCCCGTCGTGCTGCGGAAAGGCATCCAGCTCCGTCAAACACCTGCAGCCAGCCAGACAGACATGGGTGTACATCGGTGCCTCTCACCCAGCCACCCCTCCCTCCCCCACCAAGCAGACTGTGTGAGGTTGTGGTTGTCGCTGGTCTCAATGGAGGTCAAGAACCTGTCCCTGAGGGCGTTGTTGAGCACATAGTCGCCCCGCCAATCGAACCGCCGCATGGCGTCCAGCACCTGGGCCGTGGTGATATCGTCCAAGCTCTCGGCGTGCTTCTTGACCTCGGCCAACAGGGCGGCAGTCATGAGGCGATCGCGATAGCCCAGCTTCGCAAAACCCCACAGAAGGTTGCCTGGACGGAGAGCACGAGAAAGAGATGAGAATGCATTGGTGTGCAGGGTTGGTGTCAGTCAGATCATCGTGTGGACGTACCCAGCTCTCGTTGTTGGAACTCCTCTGCACATTCTGTTGCCCTCACGCCCACGGCCTCCATAAAGGGCCGATGCAACGCGTCCACCTTGGCCAACGCATGAACCTGCACAGACTCAAACGACAACCCACGAAGGCGTCCCATGTCCGTCCGTCTGCCATGCCATTCTTACCGCAATAGCGAGCTGCTGTGGCGAGAGCGTCTGCACACGGGGTGGGTCGAGTAGCAGGCCAGTGAGCCGCTTGAAGACGGCAGGCCGCCGCATGTTGCACCGACTAAATGAGTTCAGCATCAGCACCACATGACGCGCCTCGAAGTCCTCCGCGGAGATCGGCTTGGTGCCTTTTTTTAACACACCCAATACACATCCGCCCAGACGCCGTGATGCCGCTTCTGGGTCATCTTTCTCCTGTCTGCGTTGCCTCACTCACCGTCTTGGCCCAGTAGCCTGTCAGCGACCCCATCGAAGAGCCCAGCGTCACAGTGGCCGACCCTTGCGCACGCATTCAACGCCAGGGCGGCATTGACGGTCGTCAGCTCCGCCAGCTGCTGTTGCTGCTGCAGGGCCTCGCCGAGCGTCTTGAAGAGGCGCATGTTGCGGATGTTGAGGTGGCCGTGTGCGTAGAGGAGGTGGGTGATGTCGATGGACGACAGCCGGGGGGAGTCGGAGGAGGGAGTGGTGACGTCATCCGACGCGTCGGCGATGGCTCGATCCGCGATAGCATCGAAGAAAGCAAAATGCTGATGGTTCAGGCGGGCAAACGCTGACAGACAGACAGAAGGACAAGACAAAGAATATAAGAGAAGATAGATCGCCTGAGTGCGTGTGAGAGCATTCGCGAGTCGGCAGCTCCCTTACCTCCAGCCATAGAGCTGTATTCGCCTCCAGAGATCTGTTCGACGGTCCGTGCCGCCCTGTCGGCAAGGGCGTCGAGCAGCTTTGGCAGCCGCACACCCACCAGGGCATAGGATGCCACGATGCGCTTCAGCTGGTGGCTTTTGAACGACGCCATGCGACTGATCAAAGTGGCCTCGAGAGATCTGTACAGGTCACCGATGTCGGACAGCAGCTCACTCGGCGGCCGACTCAGACACTCTGCAATACAATACAATACAGCACATGACATCACGTGGACGCGTATAGTATGTGGCATCGCATCTCCCTCTGCACTGCTGACCGATGACGTATGCGAGGTCCTCCTCCGTCAGCTGCTCACAGTCTTCAGCTATCCTCTTGGCCATCCGCCGCCACTCATCCGTATCAGGCGGCTCCTTGGCCACCATCCGATACACCTCATTGGCCATCACCCCTCGCTGCCGAAACTCACGCTCACGCCCATGCAGTGAGAATCCATGGCTGGCGAAGCTGCGGACCCTGGCGAAGGGCGGAGGGGCTGGGGTGGGGCAGATGGGCAGGTGCGAAGCAGTGGCGGCTGCTGCGGCTGCTGGCATGGATCTTGCGAAACCGCTGAACCTCCCTGATGGCGAGATCATCATGTTGGCAACGAGAAGGTTCTATGCCAAGATCTGTGATGAGGCCGATGCGGACGACGGTACTGAGGCGTCGTGGGGTTCTGCTGGCGGAATGCTTGACGATTCAGAGGGGCGACCTCCATTGCGAGCTTACTAGCTGGAAGAAGGGGCAAAAGGGGGTGACGTGATTTGTCGAACGCTTGTGATCAACGTTCCCATATATTGTCGTTGACCGAAGATGATGTCAAAACTCAAGGAGAAGTATCAGAAGCGTCAGCAGCAGCAACAGCAGGAGCAGGAGCGGCAGAGTCAGCCTGCATCCGTCAACGCGCAGCCACAGCCGCCACCAGCACCACCAGTAGGACCATCTCGTCCTGCTCCCGCCCCTCCCCCGCAGCCCTTCTCGCATGACATCCATCCTCCCGGCCGTCAACCGCCCACTGATGAGGTCCTGGAGTCAGCCTCACGCCAGCTGGCAGCCACTCCATCCGCCGCAGAGCAAGACGGCGACTTCCTAGAGGTGTCGATTGGTTTGGTCAAGGAGCCTCCGAGGTCGCTGGAGGAGCTGAAGCGTGTGCTGGCGCACTACCTGTGTGTGGATGGGCTGTTCGCGCCGCCCATCGAGTCGAGCAGCCTGATGCGCCAGATCCGCCAGCAGTACCGCAAGGACGTGGCGGCGCAGCGGGTCATCAAGCATGACGACATTGTGCGGCTGCTGCTCGAGTGGGGAGGGCTGCGTGAGCTGTCGGGCGTGCTGGACATGGACAGTGTGGAGGGCAGTGTGGTGCTCAAGCGTGTGGACAGGCGGCGGATGAGTCAGTGGGTGGCCAAGGCGTTTGTGTCGGGCCGGGAGGGAGAGAGGGTGGATGGGAGGCTTCTTGGCGTCAAGAGGAGGGAGCCCTCGCGGTCGCCATCCGTGTCAAAGGGCGCCTCGAGTGATGCAGGAAGTCAGTGAGGACTGGATGGAACGATTTGACTGACACACGAGTGCGTGCTGTTTTTGTCTGTCAGGTGGTGTGGCCATGGCGAAGCGGCCTCGGTTTCAGGGCAACGGTTTGGCGTCCATCCCTGGTGCAGCTCCCGACAGGGACGATTCCATGGATCTCGATGCGCTGCTCAACGCGCCCTCAGCAAAGGCAAGTACACACACGCTCACCATGACCACACAAAGGCGTGTGCACATGGACCACCCCCTCCATGCCATCTGTCTGTGTGTATGTGTGCAGGTGAAGCAGATCCAGGACACGGGCAACGAGTTGCGTGAGCTATTGGCGGCCCCCACGGCCAAGCAGACGCTCAAGGCGCAGACCTTCCAGAACAAGGAGGGGTCTCAGCTGCTGCAGTTCTGCTTCCACGGCACAAGAGAGGACTGCTGCAGGGCCAACAAGACACACGTCGCCTGCAACAAGGTCCACTTCCGGCGGATCATACTGCCACACACCGGTACGCAAAGAAAGTCATCCAAACGCATATCAACACACGGAAAAGACTGACTCTCTTTGGTCGCTCACACCTGTGTCTGTCTCGTGTGTGTGTTGTGTCTCAGATGTGAGTCTGGGCGACTGTTCGTATTTGGATTCGTGTCGTCACATGAACACCTGCAAGTATGTGCACTACGAGATCGACCAGGACCTGGCACCCGAGCAGCGGCAGAAGCTACTCTCGCAGACCATGTACGTCTCTAGAGTAGGGCTGTGGGTGGGGTGGGGTGGCCATGGGACGACAGACATACATACGTGCTGGCTGCCAATGGGACTCTGGCTCGTCGTATACACTAACTAAAGCATCACTCTCTGTTGACCGACCTGACGGACGGACGGATGGGAGCATAGGATACACACCTGCACTGCATGGCATGGGTGGTGTTCGCACGCTGCGCTGCCTGCCTGCCTTTTCGCTTGTGTGCACACAATACGTGCACACGTATTGTTTGATGTGATTGATGTTTGTATCCTCTGTTGGTTGCGTGTGGGCTGTCTAGGGCGACAAAGTGGGACATCGGTGCGATCAGTGAGGTCAAGCTCGAGGAGTGGGAGCCTCAGTGGATCAAATGTGACATTCGGTACGCATAGTCCTCTGTCTCCACCCACAGGCACCTCTGTCTGTTTGTTGTGGCCGTGTGGGTGCGTCGTTGTGTGTGCAGCAAGTTTGACTTTTCGATCTTCGGCGACTTGATCAAGGTCATCATGGCCGACCCCCCATGGGACATCCACATGGACCTCCCATACGGCACCATGACCGACAAAGAAATGAAGGAAATGAGGGTAGGTAACCAAGTCAAGTAACCAACACAAACACGGGGCCGGGCCCTGCAGGCTCCACCATGTGTGTATGTCGGCTGTCTGTGTGGGCGTCAGGTGGATCAGATTCAGCGTGAGGGCGTGCTGTTTCTGTGGGTGACGGGGAGGGCCATGGAGCTGGGCAGAGACTGCATGGAGGTCCATACACACACAAGGGAGACAGGCGGCACGGCGTCAATCCATCAAACAGCCAACATACGTTCCCTCATGTGTCGTGTTTCATTCAGTTGTGGGGATACCGTCGTGTGGAGGAGGTCTTGTGGGTCAAATGCAACCAGCTGCAGCGCATCATCAGGACAGGCAGGACGGGACACTGGCTCAACCACTCTAAGGTCAGGCAGGCAGGCAGTCAGTCACCGGCACCAAGACACAACAACCACATCAGACAATACATCTACCGTCCCTCTGTGTGCGTATCGTTCAGGAGCACTGTTTGGTGGGCATAAAGGGCAATCCGTCGTGGCTCAACACCAACATCGACTGCGACATCATCCTCTCGGAGGTCCGCGAGACCTCACGCAAGCCGGACGAGGTCTACCGCATCATCGAACGCATGGCGCCGCAATGCCTCAAGCTAGAGCTCTTCGGCCGGATGCACAACACGCGGAAGAACTGGATCACACTAGGTACGTCGTTCAGGGAGAAAGGGGGGCACCATACACGGCAGCACAGGTGTGTCTGGGTTGTGTTGTGTTGTGTTGTGTTGTGGTGTGTCATGGCAGGCAACCAGCTGGAGGGCACTCGTCTGAGCGAGCCAGGGCTGATCGAGCGGTACAACCAGATCGCTTCATCGCTAGGGCTGGAGGTGGCCCAACGGCCCCCGCCACCGCCACCAGATGCTGCGGAGAAACCCGGCACGAAGCGCAGAGTGGGCCGCTTTGATCGTCGAGAGCCGGTGCCCGTTGAGCAGACGGCATGAAGGAGGGAGTGAGGTTTGTGGCTAGGCTGTGTGTTTGTGTTGTTCCAGTGGACCCACGTTTCGTGCACCGATGCAATGCATGACGATAGATAACAGAATGGTTTCTCTCTGTACATATCATATCGTCCGTCCTACGGCAACATCGCCGGCCGCACCGCACCTGTTGGTTGATGCTTTGGATCGACCGACCAGAGAGGGTGAGATCTTCCTGGGGGCGGCCAGGACACAAAGGAATTGCCGACACGACAGGCAACAGTCATGTGGATAAACGAGTTGAGCACGAGAGTCTTGCACTCCACACACGCGCAAAGCGATAAAAGACGTATGCACACGCAACAAGCATTGAGCGTCTTCACACACGATTCCCCCTCCATCCACAGTAAATGCATGCCGTCACTCTGTGTCATGCCCCATTTGTCATCTCATGCTCACAGTCATGCTCATCCTCGACCTTGATCGATGCAGCAGCCCCACTCTCTGCACCGGCCACCGGTGCAGCGGCCTCGGCCTCCTGCGCAGGTCGCTTGGATGGCGGGCTGGGGGAGCGCTCGATGGGGCGGCGCTTCTTGTGCAAATCGCGGATGCCGCACCCCTGAAGCACCTGCACCAGACGATCCTGAAGGGAAGACAGGAGACATGGGCAAAAGGCCATCCATCCATGGCGGCCACTGACCAGACGATCGAAGTTTCCCGTCGCGAGCACCGTTTCCTGCTTGACCCACTCGCCCGGTGCGTTGACGATGTTGTGACGCTGCAGCAGGATGGCCGTGTTGCTGCTGCTGCCCCTGCTCTCGAAGTAGATAATGCCCTCCAACCACCTGCACAGACCATCAAGCCATCCATCCGTCCATCCATCCATCCATCCATCGCCCAGACACTCAGCAAGTGATGCTCACTGCTCTGTTGTTTCTGCGTACTCGTGGCATGCTGGCATGGCCATGAGGGCCTCCACTTCACTGAGGGCGCTCTGGAGGTCCTCCCGCGTGATGGAATCAGGCGTGTCCAGAGAAAACTCCTGCAACACACATACATACATAAGCATGATAGCATGATATCATGTTCGCTTCGACTGTTTTCTTCTTCCCACCGATAGCCCCTGTGTGTCACGGTGCTGCACCAGCACTGTCCAGCCCCATCGTCCCCTTTTCTTCTTGCGCTTGGAGAACCTGATCCTGACACGCAAGCAGACAGATGAGATGGACAGAGACAAGTTCCCTCATCGTGTTCTGTCATCCCGCAGCTACCTGGTGTTGACATGGAAGCGGTATTGCGCCACCCCCTGGTGGAGATGGTGCTGCGCCACCAGCTCTCGCTTCCGCCACTGACGATGCACGCAACCGTGCAATGGGTCTGTGTGTGATGCGGTTGATTCGGTTACCTTGATGCGTCCCTCGACGTTGCCGAGGAGCAGCTTGAAGAGGGCTGCGTGCAGGACGCGCATGCTCGCCGGCTCCTCGCGGTAGGCCTTGCCGCCGCTATTGCACACCCAGTCTATACACCTCCCAGCACACACACACACACACACACCATCAGGCAACCACCGTATTCTCCTTCCTGAGTCTTGGCGTCGGCTGTCGGCGTACGTCGCGTAGCGTTTGCATTTTCGTCCTCCACGGGCTCGGTGTCGTGAACGAGGCCGTCACCAGCAGCAGCACCATTGCCAGCACCCTCGCCCTGCTGGTCCTCTTCTGTGGTTCCCATTTCTGGCTGGAGGCCGGCCGTCATCTCTGCCTGGTCCACCTGGTCGTCCATCGGGTCGTTGGGGGGCTGCTGCATATCCACGGACAGGGCGGGGGTGACTTGTGTGGTGCTGCGGGAGGGCTCGACAGGGTAGTTGTGCAGGGAGGCCTTCTCGTCGATCGCCCGCTGAGCATCCACGAACCTGAAGGCACAACAAGGGCCTGACGTGTGGCAAGTGAGGTGGCCATTGCAGCTTCTGACTGACGCAACGCACCGGTAGTCCAGCTTTGTGAGCACCAGGTGGGAAGGGTCGGACCCGGGTTGGGATGCTGCCTCTCCCCACGGCTCGTAGCCGATCTGATTCATGCAACACACAGCACACACTATCGTAAGCAACATCCACGCATACGATTCGCAATTTCCTCGCCCACCGAGCACAGGCAGTCACGCAGCAGGCGCTGTGTGTAGGCATCGTCCCACAGGTCCTGAACGACGAAGGTAGTGCAGATCTGTTTGGTTCAGTGTGCGCTCCCTGCTCACCGCTTCGACAGTGTGGTGCTGAGGCTCTTCACCCATCAGCATCTCGGTCGCATCGTTCAGTAGCGTGCGCAGCAAAGGTGTGATCTGCGCGAGCATCTGTGGGGGAAGCTGCGGGCAGAAACACACAAGCAACAACGAAATGTGCGTGCGCCTTCTCCTGCCCTTGTGTGTGTATAGATACCACATCCAGGATGCCCCTCATCGCTGCGGAGAGTCACGAGTCGGGCTGCGAGATTTGTTTGCAAGGGGCCTTCTTTGGCGACGCAGGCTTCACGCACGCTCACAATACCGAGTGTCGCCTCCCATGCAATGGAGGGGACACACACACGCAATGCGAAAGGATGACGTGTCCGACTCGGGATAGAGCAGTTTCACGGCCCCGGAGGCCGAGCAGTGTGATCAAGTCCTCTCGCTCCTCTCGCCACGTGCCATGGAGCAGGAGCACGTGAGGTAATCCAGTAAAAATCCCCGAAGATGAGCTGACGTCAAGATCGGTGAGGCGACTCATCAGCGGGACCATGCCGGGTGCATCCTCGACCTCCTATGCGGACCAACAGGCCGAGCAAGAGAGGATAGCGTGGGTCAAGGAGAGAGTCGCCACTCTCGTCGAAAGCAAGCGATGCGGAGACCCTGCCGTGCTCCATCAAACGGTGCAGGAGATCCGCGGACAGCTGCCCGTGATAGTGATGCACATCCCGGCGTGGCTCAGGGGCGGCGATCACGCGGTCACTGCGGCTGTGGCGATCCTGGAGGCCCTTGCAGAGTTCATCCTGCCGGAGCTGCAGATGGAGAGTAACATCATCGACCCCCTGAGGATGCTTGCCGAAGAATTCCATAACCACAAGATCCGTGCGCAGGCAGCTGAACTGGCCAGCAGGCTGACACGCCCAGTGGAGTTCCCCGCACCCGTCGGCAACTATCAGGAGAGCCTCTATTTGCCGCCTGCCGATGGCGTGCCGTCAGAGCGCCGGAAGGACTTCCAGCTGGGCATCGCCAAGAGCCTCAAACGGGCCTTCAAGGGAAGCGTCGCATTCGCCATCCGGGGGGAGGGGGACCACGACCAGTGGCTCATCTGCACGTCGAAGAAGCCCATCGACGACGCCATCAAGCACAGGATCATCGGTGTGGTGGGCGAGTGCTACGAGTCCTTTCAGCACAAGATCGCCGCTGAGAAGAAGGAAGCTGCCCAGAAGAGGCAGGGCAAGGAGAGGACAGGTGAGATGGCATCGGTGCATGTTGGTCCATTCGTGCACTCATCTTTGGCTGGCTGCCTTGTTCGTTTGGTGTCAGTTTCTCGAGGGTATGTCGAGGAGAAGCATGGGACGATTCTTGGGCACACGGATGCTGGCCAGAAGCCCCCAGGGACCTACCAGCCCTGCCTCAGCTTCCTCAAACCCAGCTCGATGCTCCTCGGTATGTGCACCCATACGCACACGCACATCCAATCATCCAATCCATCCATCCATTGATTGTCCATGCTCATGTATGCTCTCGGATTCCTTCTCTCCCAGCGCACTCGAGGCATCTTGGCCCTAGTAGGCAGCACATCACACTCAGCCACCGACATCCATTCGCGCGTCACAAACCTCTCTTTGTACGACTGTGTGTGAAGTTGCCATGTACAACGAGGCGCTGTTTTCTGCTCGTCTGGGGAAGTACAAGCAAGAGAAGGAGGAGAAGAAGGCGCAGGAGGCCAGCAAGAAGCAGCGGCGGTCGAACGAGGACGAACGGAGCTTCATTCGGAAGGGAGTCGACATGATCAGGGGCTCATTCCTGCGGTCAGGCAACTGACTGACTGACTGCATCACTGACTGACCATTTGGTGTCTTTTTCCGGCGAGCACATGCATGCCTTTTTGTGACGTGATTGAGGGGAACGGATGAGGGACGTTGCCCATCGCTGCATTCTGACTCAGAGATCTGCGTTGCATGACAGGTCTAGAGATTTGCATGCGCGACATGCAGGCGGGGGCAGACTGGGGGCTTCGGTCACTTGTCTCTGCCCTCGCTTCCGTGCCGTTGCGCCCACATCCCATCATCCCATCCATCCCGTTTCATCCCCCTCCAAGCCAGCCCGGCCTCCCTTGAGCAGCGTGCCGCCCGTCATCCCGTCCATCCTCTCTCTCTCACCATGCAGCATCTCTCCGCTGTCCTCCTCCTACTCACAGCGTCATCAGCCGCCTCCCTCCTGGCCCATGACTTCGACAGAACGCATGACATCCTCTCGTCGGCCTTCACTGAGATGAGCAATCATCTGGAGCAGTCGGGGCTCAGTGTCGACCCCGCATTCCTCCACGAGTCGGCCCACAATGCCGCCAAGGACGTCCTGCACGTGCTCGAGACCCACAGACAGACACCAGCAGCAGGAGCACCGGACAGAAATGGGACGGCCGTCTCCATGCTGGCCATGCAGCAGCCAGGAAGTTACGACCTCGGTAAGGAACGCAGAGAACGGAGAGAAAGGATACGTCCTTGCCTTACTGTCATTTGCTCTCTACGGTGCAGTGCATCAGGTGCAGACGCTCGTCGAAAAGCACCTGGTCGGTGAGAGCCCCAGCAAGCAGACAGACAGGCAGACAGGCAGGCAAAGCATCAGTCTTCTGTGTGTGTTCGTCAGCTGTTGTGTGCGGAGACGGCTCTCCGCAAGGCCACGGCCCGCTGCGACGCTGCAGTGGCGCACCTCCAGAAGATTCTCGCCACATCTCAGAGGAAAGTCGCCACTGATGCACACGTAAGCAGGGGAGGAAGGACCACAAGACAACTCTTCCTATGGGTGCCCTCCCGTCGGATGCGTGCAGGAGATTTTGACGATGTCGGCTTTGGCCACGATGGAGGCCAACCTGCGGAAGGCCATCCAGCGGTGCCACGACGCCCTCGCCCAAATCCAAAGAGACACCGTAGGGGGCAAAGCGGGTGGCGAGCCCATCATCCCTCCTCCGTGCGTCTTACTGCGTGCAGCAACAGCACGAGAGAGAGGCCGCCGCCCAGCAGAACGCCATCAAAGCCGAGATTGTCAGATATTTCAGGAGCGCACCATATATAGATGGTGCAGATGTGACTGTGGCATGCTTTGCTCAGGAGAGTCGCCGCAATCAGCTGCTCCAGATCAAGGCGACGCTAAGTGCGGCCTTCCAGGGAGGCACCTTCTCCTCATCTGTACGCAGCTGGCGCCACACAGCGCCGCTGAGAGCATGTACGTGTCTCGCCTTTGTGTACTGTGTCGGCCAGGGCAGTCCAGGTGACTCGGGGTGCTGCAGCCAGGACAAGCTGACCGACTGTTTGCTGCCCGCCATGGACGCCGCACCCAACCCCCTCATGCAGTGTGTGACCACACACATGTGTGTCGGAGGCGGCTCATCCCTCGTCCAAACCAGCGCTGCAGCTGCCAATGGTCACGAGACACATACACATCGATGGCCACGAAGGAGTCGGTCACAACCCCCATGATAAGTGTGTGTCGGTGCAGGCAGCAGCACGATTCAGATGGCCAACGAGAACCAGGCAGCTTTCCCACAGCTGAGCAAGGGTATGGGCATTACGACACCAGCGAGCTGATGGCAACAGCAGCTGCCTCTTGACGTGTGTGTATCGCTCAGATGAGGATTTCGTTTTCGGCCTGCCGGCGAACAACCCGAGCACTGACGGCCATTACTACCCCTCACTCATCCAAATGAACACCAGTGCGCAGACACATATACATCGATTCATGTGACTGTCTGCTGTGCGTCGTTTCTCTCTGCAGAGTCCGTCTTGGCTCACCGGCAGACGGCCACAAGAGAAGACGAGACCATTTGAAGGCCGTGTGTGTGTGCGATTTGCTAGTGGACTGCGGTGTGCCTCTGTCTGTGACCCTGTCGTTTGGCAAATAGGCAGACAGAGACAAATGGAGTAAGTGTTGTGTCTGTGACCTTTGAGTTAATGCATTGAAGTATGAGCGATTTCCGCTGCCTCCTCCGCTCTGTTATCCATGGCAACGATTGCAGCCTGCACAGCGGTGAGGAAATCGATAAGCTGCGATCTGAATGTCATGCTCTCTTCACTCATATCATTTTCACTCAGATCAAAGAGCAGTTCATTCTACACAGAAAAAGTGAGCGGTCAAAACTTACAGATTCTCACACGATCAAAGTGCCCTTATACCCTTGTGTTTCCTCCTGTCCTGCCGCCCTTTTGTGGCCGCAGGTTTTTGCATGTCGAAGTCGGCGAGATTTTCGCGACGGGAGACAGAGACGAAATTAACCCCGCAAACCCTGATTTACAATTTTGGAATTCATTTTTCAGATTCTCTGCCGGATTCGGCTTTCCAGCCTTCTTTCAGCCACATCTCCTCCGTTTCCCTTTCTTTTTGACTGGTTGTTGGCTTGTGTTGTCCGCTGCGTCCTCCTCTACCCCTCCCAACTCGTCAGAATGTCGTCCGCCACTTTTTTCTTCGACCACCGCCGTGCCCCGGGCCAGGCCTCGTTTGGTGGTGCCCTGCCTTCTGTGGAGCGGCTGGCGTCTCCCTGGCGTCTGCAGAGTGCGCACGCGCCTTCTTCGCCTGAACCGACGTCGAACAGGTGAGTATATATGAGTGTGGCCTCGTGAGTCATGTTCCTTGGGTGCGGTGATGGTGTGGTGTGTGGATGATTTGTAGGGATGATTACATGGTGCATTTCGTTGCCATGGGTGTGTTCAGATGCCTCCTGTTGCCGTGTTTGTGCGTGCAGATGAACCAGCGGCTTTTTCTTTTTCTACCCGTCTCTTTTTCTCGACGCAATTCTCTTCACGTGGGTGAGGTGGGTGACTGCCTCATTGAGTTTGGTGTTGACGCGCACGTCAGCATGGCCAACCCATTTGAGGCAACCGATGTACGCACAGACAGACCGACAGACAGACAGACATGCGACACCTGTATGTGAGCCAAAGCCTGGATGCTTTCCTTGCCTTCGTGCTGTGTGGTGCAGTTGCGTATTATCCGACTTATCCTGCCGTCCCCATTCAGCCACGGGAGGACTCGGCGGTCCACGTGCACATGGGAAAGGACAGTCCCTCTACACACGCGCAATCGCTGTGGTCTGCTCGTTGCCTGCCATGTCGGTTAATCAGGCCCAGGTCAAGCAGAGGCCATCGGAACTCGAGACGTCGCCCCGTGCGTTGCGGCCACGAGAGGAATACAACCAAATGCCTGTGGTGGGTTTTCAAGGTAAGAATGTGGGCGTGCGCATGCGCATGTGCCTTTGTGTGTGCATCCATCCACACACACTCAAGTCCTCTCTCTGTGTGTGTGCTGGCTGCCTTCAGCCGCCCTGCAGCTGTACGACCAAGGAGATCTGGTCGATCCACACGTCGTGGACTTCTCAACGCGGGCGCCCGCACATCACATGTGTAAGTGATGCATACATACCGGTTGCTTCCTGCAGCTGGTGCATTGCCGCATGTGTGCTGCTGGTGTGTGTGCGTGTGCAGACCGGCACACAGCCTCCCCGCCTGTTCCCTCAGGTGGACCGCTCGCCGCCTGCGCCCCGACTGGTACACATCTACATCCACACCCATCCATCCATCCATCCATCCGTCCACACGACACTCTCTTGTCTCCTCCGTCTTGCTTTCAGCACTGGTCGCCCCCGACTGCGACGCCGCCAGTTCCGTCATCGGTTCCTCGACCGCACTCACCATATTACAAAATTCCAGTACGCCCATTGCACACTGCTCCCACCCACCCACACACGTATGGTATCAACCTGAGGGCACTTGATTGCCTTCTCCCTCTCTTCCCTCTGGCGCGCAGGTACCTCCGACGTTTGGGACACCTGAGCGACCCAAAGCGCCGGCCATCACAGTATGCATCCGCCCATTCATCACGTTTGTGTGTGTACGCGTGTGTTTGCTGTCTGTCCTTCAGGTTGCTGGGCCGTCGGTGTCGAATGTGGCCGCTGCTGGTCGGCCAGGGCCTCAGCCTCTCAGGTTCTCGATGCAGCAGCCTCCGCCCTCTGTGGGGCAGCATCCCTAACTCAACGTGCGGCCTCGTGCACCCGGAGGCCCGTTCAGCCTCCTGTCTTTGTGCATCATCCTGCCGGCAACCCGGGTGTGACGCCGGTGCGGCCGGCCCCTGTGGTGGTGAACGCGCCTCCTGCTGGCGGTGCCAATCTGATGCCGCCGCCTCCACCTCCGGCAGCGTGTAAGTTCACACACAGACAGATAGACAGACAGACCACACTCGTGTATATGTGTACACCTGGATGCCTTCCTTGTTTGTGTGTGCGCTGCAATCGCGTACGTTCCCTGCTACCCCACAATGGCCGTGTACAGGCAGCCGCCTAGGCGTAAGACACCATTCGCGCCAAAACACACGGGGCACCATGACTGTGAGAGCTTCCATTCCCACACATACATGTCCTCTCTGTGCAGACTCGTTTCAGCGTTCCCCGGACTCGGTGAACTTCGTCAACAAGACCCTCCCCGTGTGTGAGTAGAAGAATGCACAGCTGTGTACGTCTGTATATGAGTGAATGTGGGTTGTTGGTGTGTGTGTGTGTGTGTGCGTGGTGCAGTTGGGTCGTATCCGAAGTTTCCACCCATCCCCATACCGTCGCGAGAAGAGTCTCAGGTACGCTGGCACAGGAGATGCACACGGGGAAAGGGCCCTTCTGCACATGGCACGCAATGTGGTTTGATTTTTGCCTGCATTGTCCATCAATCAGGCGCGGATGAAACAGCGGCCGTCCGAGGTGACGCCCACGTCTCCCCTGCGGCCCCAGCCTCAGTGCGAGCAAATGGAGAGAATGTCGTGGGAGGGGAAGTGTGTGGATGTGCGCATATGGGAGTGCCGCATCATTCGTGGATCTCTTTCTCTCTCTCTGTGTGTGTGTGTGTGTGTGTGTCTTGGCTTCCTTCAGAGGCGCAGGACCGCTACAGGCAGGGGACGTTCCAGGGGCCTAACATACCTAACCTAACGATGCACATGCGCCGGAGCGTGTGTAAGTGGCCCTGGAGTACATCAATGCCTGTGGGTGTGCACTCTGCGACGCGTGTGTAGATCGACCGTCACAGGGGCCACCTTTGTCACTGCCTCATGACCTACGGTTGGGAGAGGGCGGGTCCGGTCAGGACAAGACTAGCGAGGACAACACTTACAGCAGCAGCAGCAACAGAGACCTCCACGACGACGACAAGGTGAACGGGGGACCAAATGACGCGCACACCACACTACACTAAAATGTGTGTGCCTCTGTCTGTGTGGCGTTGTCAGGGTGACTAAGAAACGGACAGTAGATGTAGCTGGCGAGGGCTTGCATGTGTCTAGACGCTTTATCAGGGGTGACTGAAAGGACGCGAGAAACGACGCATTGAAGAGAAGCTCAGTGCGCGTCGGCGACTTCAGGCGCTGTCAGGTTGGCGCAGAGAGCTTCTGATGTGCTCTTTCCCCTCTGGACCGTCGCAGATGCGCAGGTGGGCTTGGCCGACTTCATCAATGACCCGGTAAGTCAGCAGCCGAGGATGGATGGATGGATGACTGGACAGATCACGTACTGTGCTTTCCTGTGTGTGGGCAGCATCGCGCGGTACCGTTCGGAGTGGAGCAGAAGGGGAGCTGGTGCACATGGGTCCCACTGACGACGGCCTACAGAAGTATTGGGCGAGGGGTCTGTTCACATCATGTGCGGTCATCTGCCTTGTGTCTGCATTGTCCATTGTCGTTCAGGGCGAGCGACAGGTCGTCACATCGTTGTCTACATTTTATATTTGACGGACGTGGAACAAAGGTTGCCGCGAATCCATCTGGCGCTGAGGTATGCAGTAACGCAACAACGAGAGACCGCCAGCTTCCAACAAACACTTGGCAATACCTCTGCGTGCAGACTGGGGGAATCTCGCAAAAGCCAAAGAAAATGATGAGCGCCGCCGCTAAGATGCACACTCGAGTGCACCCGCCGCTGCCCCTGGAGCCTCCTGCGGACTTCGTCCGCCAACTGGAGGAGAAGACCCTCCGAGTCTGCCTGGACGACGGCGACACCATGGAGGAGGCCCAGGGGGTGGTGGAGGCCATGAAGCAGAACGAGTTGGCCAAGAGGGTGAGAGATATACACTGACCGGCAGACACGCACGTCAGGATACTCCTGTCTCACATGCTGTCTCCGTCTGTCTGTCGGTCTGTCTGCAGGAATGGGACATCAAGGTGTGGAAGAGGGACGTGGAGGTCAGTGAGTGACCCGGCAGGCTGCGCAGACTCATTGGTCTGTCTCTCATTGCTTGCTCTCTGATGTCTGCAGGGCGTCTTGCATGATTTGTATGGGCTACGTGTGCTGGGCAAGTTGGGGGAGGGCGGCCAAGCCGATTTGTGGCGGCTCGAGGGGGGCAAGGTGGCAAAGGTGCTCGACACGGAGCACTCCATCGGCGGGGTAGGCATCACTTGCACATCTCCTCTCGTCGACATATCCTTGCTTACTTTGTTGCTTGTGTCTCATCAGTTCCACCACAAGCCCACATACCGCCGATACATCGAGAAGGGCCTCGCCCTTTGCCCCAATATCGTGCGGCTAGTGGGGGATTTCGCGGTCACAAGGAGCAGCCGCAGCTGCATTATCATGGAACACGTTGAAGGTAGGCGAAAGAGCGACACGAGCCGAGACATGCATCCACCGATGTGTGTGTCTGTGTATGTGTGCAGGCCGGGGTGTGTGGGAGCTGTGCGGCAGCCTGGGAGAGGGAGACGTGAGGGCCGTCGCCAGCGACCTCCTTCACGCTCTCTCCTTCCTCCACCGCCGCCGGCTCGCCCACCTCGACGTCAAACCAGAAAATTTGATAAAGCGCCGAGACGGGTCGACTGTGCTGATCGATCTGGATTACATGGATGAGGACAAGGTGAGACCATCGATCGATCGATGGCTTTCTGGCTTTCTGGCTGATTGGTCTTCCTGTGTGTTGTGTGTGCTTTTGGCGTGCAGAAGGGCGAGGGGGCGAGGAGAGACATGTTTGATACGGGTAGGTTCCCATGACCGATGGGCATTTGGGATTGTCGTATCTCTCTCTTTGTCTCTGTCGCTGCTATCTGGCAGTGGTCACATTGCTGCGGATGGCTGGGGTTGACCATGCCAAGGCTTCGCAGATCGCCGCTTCCACGGTACGAGAGGACCAATGAAATGATCGTCACAGACGGGCATTCAGCCTAACGGCTTCCCTCTCTGCTTTACCCCCCATTGGAATGCAGCCGACGGAGGAGGCCATCCGCCGGGCCCTGCTGCCCTTCGCCCCGTCCACCGACCTGGTGGACTTCATCGAAGGGCTTCTCAAGGGCATGAGCGCTGAGGAGGTCAGTTAGCCAGGGAAGAAACAAGGACACTTCTCCCTGTCAGATTCGTGGACGTCTTGTGTGCTGTGTGTCGCCTGTATGTCCCTCGCTCCTTCGGTTGTGCAGGCCCTCCGCCACCCGTGGCTCACCACCTCCCCACCACAAGCACCAGCTGCTGCCGCTGCCGGTGAGTGGAGGAGAGACACAACTGAGATCCATTGCAATAAGGGAACCTGATCTCTGACACTGTATGGGGTCTTTGCCTTGACAGGCCCGACGTATGTGCCGCCCGTGTATCGGCTGCCGCCACCACCGCCCCAACGAGTTCCTATCGGTGAGCGGACAAAAGACACAACTCATCCAGCTTATTGCCATTGATTCTCTCCTTTTTCTTGACAGCCCATGTCGCACCGCCCCCACCGCCATATCGCCCGCCAGTGTGGCCATTCGCCCCCGCCATGATGCCGCCCTTGTTGCTGCCCCGCGGCCACCGGCCATTCCTCCTCCCGCCGCCGCCCATTCTCGCCCGTTAGCCTGTCTGCGCCACAATGCGGTCCCTCGTGAGTTCCGTTTCAAGACGAAAGGAAGGCCCGCAGGGTGGGGGGGAAGAGACATTGCCGACAGATGGAGGGAAGGAAGGAGACAAAGGTGAGAAAGAGAGGTCCACGACTAACATATTTTCTTTTCTTTCTTCTTCCAGACATCGTTGTCTACATTTTATATTCGACGGACGTGTCAAAGAGCTCACCGCAGTCCGAATCCGCGGACAGATTGGCTTTGCCACCAGAAGTGACAGCACCCAGCACATGACTTGGAACTGGGGGCGATGTAGGCTCCGCCAGACGGCAGAATGACAGGCGCCATGGAGAGAATCCACGTCTATGCGCCCATCAAGAAAGATGAGGATCAGTTCTCGCCGCTGCCGTCTCTTGAAGAGTTCGTCGCCGAGGAGGAGGCGATGATCAGGGCCGCCATTGACAACGACACGGCAGAGGAGCTGAAGGAGGTCCTCACCGCCCGTCACCAGCTCAAGTCGGCGGAGCAGGTCAGTCTTTCTGCTAAACTCTAGTAGAAAGACTCATGCCGTCAGACTCTCCAGCTGCATGGTCTCACTGGTGGTACCTTCTCTCTCTGTGTGTGTCATTGCAGGATTGGGAGGCGCAGGCGGCCGCGAGGAGCGCGGAGGTAGGTCTTCAAAGACGGAGCTACGCCGCCACAGCAGATTCTGTCTGTCTGCCTGCCTGCCTGTTTGTCTCCGCTCTGCAGGAGTATCTGTTCTACAGATACGGCCTAAGGAAGGAGGGCGCGTTGGGCAGCGGGCGGCAAGGGAAGGTGTGTCGGGCAGGGGATTACGCCATCAAGGTCCTTGAAGCGGACCACTCACTGGGAGGGGTACGCATACCACACAGATATATAAGAACAGATCATGCACACACCCCTGTGCGTGTCATGCTGTTAATGTTTCTGCAGATGTACGCCCGGCCCACCTTCTCCATGTACCGGCAACGAGGACTCCAGCACTGTCCGCACATCGCCCGGCACTACTTCTCATTCAACACCTGCGGGCGGACAGTGTACGTAATGGAGTTCCTCCAGGGTGAGAAACGCACTTGACCGCACCGCACCGCACCGCACCACAAGCATACATTCTCATCCCCCTTCTGACTCTATGTGTCCATTTGTACAGAGCGCACCGTGTGGAATTTTGGCCGCCTGGGGGAGGCCGGCGCCAAGCGTGTTGTTCGCGACACTTCCACGGTGACGTCAAGGCCGACAACATCATCGTGTGTGACGACCGTGCGGTGCTCATCGACCTGGACCACCTGGACATCGATGATGTGTCGGTAAGTTAGGTGGGGGGATAGCACAATCCGACCACCATCCATGCATGTCTGCTGTGTGCTGCTGGGTTGACGGCAGGCCTCGGGGGCAGTGTAGGACGTGCAGAAGACCGGCACGGACGAGACACACACACAGCCAACCCGCAGGCATCATATCGTTTTGCTCTGTCTGTCTCGTCTCTCTCGCTCAGGGGAGGTGCTGCTGGCGGCGCTAGGAATACAGGAGCACATTGCGGCGTACATCGCCGATCTAATCGTAAGCCAGGCAATCATCGCACACAGCCTATCAGCGACACAACCAGGGCGTGGCTGCGTCTCTGCTTGTTCAGACACCATCTGAGGTGTCTTCGATCCTGGCGTCCCAGCTGCTGCACCAGCCCCCCGAGGAGCTCACCGACTTCATTCACAAGCTGTTCCACGGGAATTCTACGACAAAAGAGGTGAGCAAGACACAAACAAACACACAATCAATCGGCCATGCGCCCTCATGTCGGTGTTGTTCGTCTCTGCTCGCAGCTCCTCGGCCACCCATGGCTGAAATCGGCACCCCCCAGTACCATCAAATCGCCCCCGCCTCCGCCGCCAAAGGAGACTGCCGCCCCGACAGACATCTATGTGCGGCCACAAGGGGCACAGCACATGCCGTACCAGCACTACCATCAAATCGCCCCCGCCTCCGCCGCCAAAGGAGACTGCCGCCCCGACAGACATCTATGTGCGGCCACAAGGGGCACAGCACATGCCGTACCAGCACGGGGAGCAACCGATCACAACACAACGCAAGACAACAACAGCCGCACAATCAGCGGAGGATGTTCTCATTGTGTTTGTTTCTTCGTGTTGTTATGTCGTCATCTGTGCAGTGCCCGTCGTGCAGCCCGCCATTCCGACGTCCCAGCCCCATCGTCCATGGCCCGCCTGCCACCCCGCCTCCTCCCGCTGCAGCGGCCTTTATCGCCCGTTGACCGACCAAACCTTGCGCGCCCATGTCGGTTCATCGTGTCTCATCTTCGAGAGTGCCCCCCTGGCCCCAGCACGGCGAGTGACACATCAGAACATGCCTCCGAGCATGCTATCATTGCGTTCCTCATGATAGAATCGTGCAGAGCGGAGGGAGCTCCAATTGCTGTCTACATCTTATATCCGCGGTATTTCCTTTGCTTCCGCTGCATCGGCGATTACAAACTTGTGGCTCCTTCTGCCGGCACCACTGCGGTTCACACACAGGTGAGAGCCAGCCGCTCATCCATCATCCATCGACGGATACGCACACGAACCCCTGTGCTGACGTTCAGGATGGCTGAGCAAATTCGATATCGTAGACGTGTGGGTCGTCCTCAGATTTCGGAGCGGCTCTCGGGAAGCAAGCAATCGGCCCGGCGTGTCATAGTAAAGCTGATGCGAGATCAGGTGAGCAGAGAGAAGAGGCAGCCAGGAAGCCGGATGACCATCCCCGCACATTGGTTGCGTTGTTCTCTTGTGTGTGTCCGGTGGTAGGGCAGCTTGCCAAGGCGGTGCGTCTGAAGGTGCACGACCACCCGTCGGCGTGGCGCTGTGGATGGGTGGATTGGACAGAGGCGGGGCTGCCTGCAACGGTCTCCCGTGTGGGTATTGACAACAACACACTGACACAGCTCTGCAGCGAGTACCGAGGGATGCACGACGACATCATCATACATCCCTCGAGCAGGTCGGTCGGTTGACACATGCACATGACACTCGTCAGCCTGTGCCACCGCCGCACACACACACAGAATTCCCATGTCTGTTCTTTCAGGAGCACGATGAGCAGCGCAATGGAAAAGGTGCTTTGCTATGCGCCAATAAACAAAGATCCCGATGCCTTTGAGCCCCTGCCGTCCCTCGAGGAGGCCATCGCGGCCGACGAGGCGGCCCGTTGGCGCAGGTGGCAGCACCAGCCGGAAAGGATGGAGGAGGTTATCGCCACGAGGAGGAAGTACAAGGAGGTGGAGCGGGTGAGCTGGGCTGCACTGCGTGACATGGCTGCATGGGATCAGTCAGGCACACACGCCCTTCATGTGTGGTCTTCCGTCTCCGTTTGTGTCCATCACATCATTCCCTGTCTCTCTGTTTGTCTGTCTGTCTGTCTGTCTGCACCGCAGAAGTAGCAGAACGACGTGGGCGAGAGGGCAGTGGCCGTAAGCAAGGCAGATCACAGCAACAAGGCAGCAATCGGCTCACCAGCTGCTGCTGTGTCGTTTGTGTGCAGGAGTACCCTTATTACCGGTACGGCCTCAAGGCCGACAAGAGCTCGGCTTCGGCGGCCAGGGGTCTGTGTGGCGGGCGGGGCAGTATGCGGTCAAAGTCCTCGACCCGAACATGTCTGCCGGGGGGGTACGTGTGCGAGACGCACAGAGAGAGAACACACAGATCTGCCATCTTTAAACGGCTTGTCTCTGCCTGTCTGTCTGTCTGTCTGTGTGCCTATGCGGCACGGCATGTCAGGAGTACGCCCGCCACACGTATCGCATGTATTGCGAGCAAGGACTCCGACACTGTCTGCACCTGCCCCGCTACTACTTCTCCTTCAACGTCGGAGGGCGGACAGTGTACGTCATGGAGCTCCTGAGGGGTACGTCTCGTCAGACACGCATCGCATAGCATACACAGCACTCATCCATCCCATCCGCTTTCTCCTGCGTCTGTGTACGTGTCTACAGGGACGACCGTGGGGGAGCTGGCTTGTCAGACGGAGGCCGGCGCCAAGTGTGTCATCCGTGACACCTTGCGCCAGACGTGTGTGTGTGTGTGTGTGTGTGGATGTGCGGACGTGTGCAGGCTGGCTTTAGATATGACATGACACTACTGTGCCGTCACCCATCGGAGGTGGAGCGGGTGGGCGACGTGTACCTCATCGCAGCCAAAATACACGATCACGCGGTGGCGACCCGGACGTTCCACGACTTCTGTGAGGGGTACAACAACACTGCAGAAATCCCGCGAGGCACCCTCATGTACGCGCGCATCGTATCAGAGAGAGAGGGAGGGAGGGAGGGAGAGGGAGAGAGGTGAAGGCGGCTTCTTTGTGTGTGGTCCTTCCTGTGTTGTGTGCGTCATCAGGTGCCGGTCGGTTGAGATGCCTCATCTACTCGTCATCACACGCATCAACAGCCTCACCTGCTTCTCTCCCTCCCTTGGTTCCGTTCAGGCCGGCTACGAAGGCGCTCGGCTTCCTCCACCACCGCAGGCTCTCACACGGCGACGTCAAGGCTAACAACGTCATGGTCCTCAAGGCCAGGGCGGTCTTGATCGACCTGGACCACCTAGACTATGACGATTCCTCGGTAAGGTTGCAATGAGGGAAAGAGCCTGGGTGGAGGGACATGTTATTGCCGTTTTTGTGTGTGTTCAATGGTCTGTCTGCAGGGCTCGGGAGCAGCGGATGACCTCCGCAAGACAGGTAGATGGGCTGCTTGCACCACACACGAGGGAGGACACCTGCAGGCAGGCAGGACGCATGCCTTTTGCTTTGCCTTCTGTGCGTGTGTATCGACCAGGAAAGGTGCTGTTGACGGCGTTGGGGGCCGACCCACAGACCATCGAGCGCATCGCCACACTCACGGTACGTACGCACACAGATAGATGAAGACACACGCATACGTCACACACTTCTCTCTCTTTCCTATTTTCGCGCTTTGCAGACACCACAGTCTGTGGCGGCCATGCTGGCGTCGTTCATGCCGTACCAGCCGTCCGGGGAGCTCATCTACTTCATTCTACAGCTTTACCACGGGCACAGCACAGCACAAGAGGTAAGTGAGCATTGGGACTACACACATAAATGTTCGCCACCTCGGCAATGCTGCACCTATGTGTGTGTATGATGTAGCTCCTCGGCCTTCCGTGGCTGATTTCAGCACCCCCCGCCCCAAACAACATAGCGCAGCCGCCTCGACGCAGACAGAGGTGGCGATGAACTATCGCTGTCTACATTTTATATTTGTCTGAAGCGTTCCAACCCAAACTCATGTGCAGCACCCAACATCCATCTCGGCGTTCATCTGGTAATGGCCCGTTGACAAGAAGATGCGCAGACTGTCGTGCATTCGATTTGTTTGTTCAGGTTCATTCGATTTGTTCGTTCAGGTGTAGGATCCCTGTGTGTCACCATTGTATCGACCCGGGGTGGTCGACCCTGGACAAGAAGGGAACCAAGCCGATGTGAGAAAACACGAAGGCTTTCGGCCAAAGTGGGCATCACACGAGCGCTGCGAAGAATGATGATGAATGCGCTGCGTGCGTTTTTTTTTTGCATCCGAGGAGAGATAATTGACAGATGGCATCCATGCACTCGCTTGTCCAAATCGCCTCCATGAATCTATCCACATATGCCTATGCACAAAGGGCACGCTCACTCATCCGATGAGAACACCCCAGCCCCGTCCATCGCCCCAACACCACGCCATGCGCTGCGTGCGTGCGTTTCTCGTTTGTTGGCTGCAGGGAGAAAGAGGTGTGTGCTGACACTCATCCATTGAGCTCGGTGTCTCTGTTTCGTGCAATGGCTTGCTCTTCTTCGTCCTCATGCCATGCTGGCTGTGTGCGGCTGGAAGGCAGAAGGGTGTCTCCTTCTTGAAACACGCGAAGCCTTCTTGGCAAATTGTCCCTATCCAGATTTTTACGTGGAATGAATCTCACCACATGTAGAAGGCCCCCCATCGAATTTGCCGTCTACTCACCTACCGAGTCACCCTGCGTATTCAATCAAACCGCAGGAGTTCAGGTCATGATTGCAATGAGTTCGATCGTAGAGCTGGGGGCGCGGGGGGCCGTTCCGCCGAAGACGGGGAAATGTCAGCCATTCCGGTGAACCTGCTGGCCCGTCCAAAGGGCGAGACCATCCGCTTGGAATGCGAACTCTGCGGCAGACCCGCATCGCTCCAGTGCAAGGATGTGCCAACCTACTACTGGTAACACACACGCACCGGGACAGTGGGACACCGGGAAGGCCTTGATGGACGCCATTGTGCCCCCTTGTTGCTATGTGTGCAGCACTCCGGAGCATTTCGAGCAGGATTGGCGGGGCATCTTGCACCTCATCGGTCAGGACCTGACTTTGCTGCGGAGCAAACCCAAGATGATTGGCTCGGAGGAGGAAAGACAAAAGAGGGAGAAGGAACTCAGAGCAATCAGAGTGAGAACGAAGAACGAAGCCATCAAGTTCGTTCGCATCCTGTGTTGTCATGTGTCGTGCTTCGTGTGTGTGTTCAGAAAGAGGTCTTGGACTTGTGCACGGAGACGGCGCAGAAGTTCCTGGTGCAGGGCAACTATCAGCTCGCCGTGCCGGGGGCCCTCCACTCCCTCAAGCTGGCCATCGCGACCTACGGCAGCGAGGCCCTGGAACTGGTGCCTTCGTACCTCCTCCTCGCCGAAGCCAATCTTGGTGATAAGAATCAAGGAAGGCACAATGCGTCTGCACGGATGTGTGTGTGTGTGTCTGTGTGTTGGTGGGCAGGTCTGCGTCGGTTGAAGGTTGCCGAAGAGTTCCTCTCTCTCGCCAACTGGAGCCTGGTCAAGCACCCAGAGGCGGGGCCTGCTCTGATGAGCAATCTGCAGCGGAACTTCGGGCGGCTGTATGCAGCTCAGCAGCGGTACAACGAGTCCCTGGAGGCGTTCGCGAGCGATATCTACTACTCCGCTTGTGAGTTCGGGCCGCAGTCCGTCCGCACTGCGCCATCCTACTTCCACATGGCGCGGGTCTTCCAGTCACACCAACAAGTGGGGAGAGGCACCAACACGCACCCCTCCTGTATCCCCCCCTCCCTGCCTCATCTCTGTCTCTCTTTCAGCTGGACCGTGCACACGCCTTATACAACAAGGTGCTGCAGATCTACAACAAGTGGCTGAACAAGGCACTCCCTGCCCCCGCCCCCTCGCCCACCCAGGAGGACCACACCCAGGGTGCTGCAGCTGCGGTAGAGAGGGACATAGTCGAGGAGCTGGAGAGGGAGACGGGCGACGACGTCGAGAAGATAATGCTGAGGGGAAAGGGCGAAGAAGACAGAGGGGAGAGGGGCGCGGAGAGACCCGGTAAGTCGGCAACACAGACATAGAGACAGACAGACAGGGAAGGAGCCCAGCCCACAGCCGGAGTGTGTGTTTGTTGTGTGCAGAGAGCGACGCTCTGGTGAGTGAGGTTGAGATGGAGGAGGCGGCCGAGATCTTGCGGCACATCAGCGAGCACCGCGGCAAGCGATTCGGCGACATGACCGCGCCCACCGCCGAGGCAAGATGCACCCTGGGGCTGCTCTTCCTGCACGCCGGCGACTACAAGGCCGCAAGAGAACAGCTCAACAGGGTGTGATGTCCAAGTGGGGGCAGGCCTGATACCCGGCCATGGGTGTCCATGTGTGTGTCTCTCTGTGTGTGTGTGTGTGTGTTGGTATCAGGCTGTGGACGGCTTCAGTGAGGCTGTGGGTGACGCCAATCGGCAGACCCTCAACGCCATGCGATACTTCAGACTGGTAAGAGGATACATAGAGAGGCGCACGTGTGTGTGTGTGTATGCCTGTGTGCTGTCGTTTGCATACACAGGCTGAGCAGCGGCTCCTCCCAGCAACCTTGTGAGGCTTCTCTTTGTGGGCTGTTCGTGTCGTGAACCCGTTGCATGTGTGGAGGGCCCAGCGTGTGTGGACTCTGGACGGTAAGGGACGGAGCGAGTAATTCATGAAAATCACACCAACGTACAGTACCGACATCCAGTGAGTGAGAGAGTATTCCACATGCACCCTTACACACATCCTCCCTGCACACGCTACACCAGTCCACCTCACCCACCACCCACCAGAAAGACAGAGAGAGAGAGCCGGCCCCGCTACCACATGTGTGTCACCCTGTAAGTAATTAACGGATGCGCCCGCCCGCTGCATCGCAACGCACACACGCA